AAGATGGGGGTGCGTGGGTCACCACGAGAGGCCCCTACAGCGACTATGCTCTTCTCGGCTGCTAGCAGGGACTTCTCGAGGAGGTCGACAATGAGGGTGGTGGGACAGACAGAGAGAAACTGGTCCCTAACCGCACGAAGGGACTCAGGGAGACGGGTGACTAGAACGTAGAGGGTGATGTACATGGGAGGGGGGTTTTCGGCGCAGAAGGCAGCAGGAAGCGCAGCTCGGTAGCGAGTGTCACTAGCGCGAAGGTGGGTAAAGAGGTCAGCGACTGTGGGAGAGGCAGCAAGGTCAGGGAAGAGGTACGGTAGCATGAGGCGGCTCAGTGTAGCAGTGGAAGGGGAGGAGTAGCGCGCAACTACAGCGTCGTACAAGGCCTGAGCACTCTTGCACCGACTAAAGTGTGCACGCTCGGAGGAAGGGAGGTGGCGACGCACAGCAAGACGTACAGCTGCATCGCGTGTGGCCCACTTGGAGCGAACAGTGGGGTCAGCATCAGCAGGAGGGGCAGGGACAGCGCCAGATGCAAAGTCAAAGAGAGAGATGTCATCTACTGAATCGCACTGCAAGTACAGCTGCAGGTCCTCGACCCAGACCGCTAAGTCAATGGCGCGACCCTCAGCGTCAAAGGCCAGGACACTAGGGGTGGCCATGATAGCAGCCGACAGTCTCACCAGAGAGGAAGGGTCGAGCAGCTCAGCAGAACAGCAACACGGCAACTCAGCAACTCCGCCGGCCCTGGAGTAGCAGCCACCCGACAGGACTCGGCGCTCGGCACCGCAGGCAGCTCGGACGGCTCGGGCGGCTCGGGCGGCTCGGGCGGCTCGGGCGGCTCGGACGTCTCGGGCGGCTCGGACGGCTCGGGCGGCTCGGGCGTTCAGCGGCACGGGCGACTCGGGCGGCTCTGCTGCTCGGGCGGCTCGCGCGGGTAGGGTGACGCGGGTGACACGGGCGGCGCTGGCGTCGTGACGGGCGGCTCACGGGCGGCATGGGCGGCACTGGCGGCTCACGGGCGGCACGACGGGCGGCTGCACGGGCGGCTGAACTGGATGCTACACGGGCGGCTGCACGGGCGGCTGTACGGGCGGCTGCACGGGCGGCTGTACGGGCGGCTGCACGGGCGGCTGCACGGGTGACTCACGGGCGCCCGAGGGCGGCTGCACGGGCGGCACGTCGGGCGGCTGAGGGCGGCTGACGGGCGGCGCACGGGTGGCGCACGTGCAGTGCACGTGCAGCTCACGGGCAGCCGAGGGCGGCGCACGGGTGGCGCGTCGGGCGGGTAGCGGGCGGCGCACGGGCGGCTCACGAGCTGCAGAGGGCGGCGCACGGGCGGCGAGTCGAGCGGCTGAGGGCGGCTGACGGGCGGCTCTGGGCGGCGCACGGGCGGCTCACGCAAGCTACGCGCGGGCTGCGTAGGGCAGCGCGCGGGCTCTAGGGCGCTAGGGCGCTAGGGCGGCGAGCGGAGCGCGGGCGCTAGGGCGGCGCGCGGGCTGCTAAGGGCGGCTCGCGGGCTGCTAATGGCGGCGCTCAGGCTCTAGGGCGGGCGGCGCTCTAGCGGCTAGGGTGGCGCGCTGGCGGCAAAGGGCCGGTCAAGAGAAAGAAGAGAGAGCCCGGAGCGCGCTCCGGGCAGAAAAAAAGTTTGAGGTAGTGGTGGTGTGCCCTAAGCACAGTTCCCACAGGGGAACCTGCTCGATACCATGACAAGAAGTGAACGAGACTGGAATGACTATGAACGAAGTGAGTACAAATAGGAAACCCTAATTGGGTTGTACCCCCTATGGGATACCCCACTATAGCCTACACAAATGAGTAAGCTATAATGTTCTGACACTTTCTCCATAGTTGAAAGTCGAGCGAAAAGTTGCTCGAAGGCGGCAGTGCCGATCGTGGTTGTCGCCTCACTTGTCGTAGCTGGATTAGGTTGTCCTTCAGCCGTCAGATTTGCTTGGCCTCCGGATCCTCCGGCCATCTTGGTCTTGGAGCGTGTGCCGCTCGCCAGATTTTGGTTCAGCGAATTTACTGAAGTGAAGTTGCTGAAGAATCCCTGAGTAGCTCTCATACCATGTTACAATCCCAAGTGGGACTTAGCAAAGGATCGCTCATGATTGATAGCGTGAGTAGTTGCAGCGGAAGTTTGAATCTCAGGTCAGAGTGAATGTAAAATGACTGAGTTGATAATAGCATGCATACATCGAGTTTATATAAGAGTACAGGGGAATACGAAATGGACCTAGCTAACTATGTACTATAAGGGGTACATTCCCTTATTGCAACTTATTTCAGAAACTGTGCGGCGCGGGAAACCCGTTCAAAAACCGTTCCTGCTCTTTTCACTGTAAGTGTTTCTGCCTGCATTGGTCTTGATCTGACGGTTAGTGCGTTGCTTCAGCTCTTCTGACTCCTTAGCTTCGTACTCGGTAGAGTCGGCTTCTGCAGCGTACAGGAATGCCCTCTCATAAAACTTTGCATCATAACAAGGCCGCCGGGACACACGAGATGAAACTACCCGGCGGCTAAGCGGGGGTTGAAGAACGGTGTGAAGGGCAGGTTAAAAGCCGGTGTGAACGATCTGTGACCTCCCGTCGCCCGAACCTCACCATCCCCACCAAGTTTCTAGTTCTGACTCGTACAGTCAACTTGCTTGGCCGAATACCGGGGGTGAACACGGGCCCACCCTGTGCTGGTTAAAGGTACCTGGATTGGTACTCGTTCAACAGCCGTACTGAAAAAACAAAAAAAAGCTGGAGTTGCGGCACTGTTCTACTCCGACAAAAGCGGGCTGGGTGAAACAGCACACGAAAAAATCGGGGCGCCGCATGACAACAATGGTGCAGTTCGCTGGTTTCTCCTGACCCGGGCGTCTACACGAGGTGACGGCGCAGCGGCGGAGCTGGAACCGGGAGCTGTGGAGTTTTAGTGGCGCGACGGCACGGTGTGCTGCAAAGCGGTTGGGAATGATTTCCTTTTAACTAAGGTCACCCCGACTCCGATAGCCTTTTCTTCTCCACCGTGGCTGGGTTCGTGCGGGCAACACCGACTATACCTCATCCGAAAAACGCGGACGCTGGGTGAACGGCGGGAAGCGGAATTGTCGGGGGGTGAAACGACAAAAAAAAATATAAAGCTGCGGGTATTACTTCGCTTCTTGGAGTGCGGTTGAGTCGTTGGGGGACTTCGCCTGAAGGGCACTTTTGAAGTTGCCTGGCAAGAAATACAGCGGCAAGGATGCTTAGGACCCCCGTTGTTTAAACGCACACCTCGGGAAATTCTTCAGACAAAAGGGAGCGTGGAAGCAGTCGTAGCTTCGGGATCTATCGACCGGCGACGAGCGATGCAGTGAAACATCTGCAAAGCGCTGGTGGGAGAAACGTGGATTTTTGTTAAACAGCATCGGCGGGAGCAGTTTCGACTACGGAGTCAACGGCGTTGATGCCTCTAGGTTCCGTGAAATTCGGTCTCGGAATAGCCCAGGGCAGTCCCCGGTTCTCGATTGAACCCACATGCTGGGGTCGGGTAACCGACGGAAACTGATGGTGACCGAGTGGGCGGCTATAGAACGACCGAGATTTTCAGAGGAGAACTGCACCTGCATCTGTGGATTTTCGGGGTTGTGTTCAAACGACATTTTCAGAGTTTACGCGGGACTTCACAGGTTTTACGGCGAGAAGCGGCAACAATTTCGGAGGAGAATTCGGCGTTTGGTTAAACGCGCGCGACATCTAAGTTGGGCAACACCGCCGGAACTACACGGAGTTTTCAAGGGGTACGAACCACTTACGACAAACTGAAGAAGGCGGTAACAACAGTGACGGGGGGGATTGACAGCTGTAAAATTTCATCCCTGCCCTCGAACTCTCGGCGCATTATGACAATTTTTTTTTGGATAAACCATTCCAGCTCTGCTACCGACAGCTCGCCTTCGACCCGCCCACGACAACTGCATTCAATATCAACCACGTCAGGTGCTGCCAACTGCAACTGCTGAAGATATCGGCTGATTCTGGCGAGTGAAGACAACACAGGTTCTGTTCGAGTAACACATAAATTCCGCCGCGGTTTCTGGTCTACTCACGCGGGCTCGCCCTTTAAGACTTTTGGGCACGTCACACCCGATTTCGTCATCAACTTTCCGCTCAACACTCTTCTTCGTGGGACTGAACGTCCGGCTTTTTGCTGGTTTTCATCTCGGTGCAGCTGTGAAACATTTTCTGGTGTGCTTTCTTGGAGGGGGGGAGAAAGTGCTTTGCACTGTTCTTTCCTTGGCGTTTTTCTCGGTCCTTTCTGACTTTGTTAGGTTGCGTCAGCACGACGGACGATCGCGATCACACCGACACGATCAACGGTCCCTGCTCAATCGCGTTTGAATTCGCGTCAGCAGGTTCCCTCCAATCTCGCGTCAGTTTTCGACCGTCCGATCCACATCTGCTTCATCAACGGCCTACATTCCAACCTTTTCAAAATTATTGTTAAAGGTATTTCGGCCGTCGGATTCAGCTGAAGAGGAGATCTAAGGAATCCTTGCTAGTGTGGGGCCTGTTTCAGTACAGGACTGCCTTATTTAGAAGGTGGGAGAGTGTAAGGATTTACAGAATCCTTACTGGGGCACTCGTTAGCGAGACCATCCCGAGGGTCACGCGACGAACCTGTCCTTCCTATTTCGTCGCACCGAACCACTCCCGAGTCGCCTCCGCACCAACCGCAACCATCACCGAGCCATCCTCGCACAGCCTCTCCGCCTAGCTAGGACTTCCCCTATTTAGTCGTGCTTTTCTCATTGTATTAGTGAGGAAGTGAATTCAGTACTCAGTCATTCTCGTTATTCGTTTTACTGCGCACTCTGCAAGTTCATTCATAACATCTCCAATGAAAATCATTTACTAAAGCAATTATACGATGGATAAGCAAGAATAGAGGACCACAGTGGTGTACATGTTGACACAAATGCATGTTCTGTTGCATTGTTACTCCACAATGGTTGGCTATACTGTAGATATATATCACAGGCCATGCTTTGGCATCAAGCTTTGCAGCGTGAGAGCAAATTTGGGTAAGCCACGTCTCCCACACACATCCACTTGTCCCGAATCCTGCCTCCGTTTCCCCTCGATCACAGCTCCCCCCCTCCCTCTTACATGACTTGCAAAAGCATTTGCATTGGTAACAGCAGAATGAGCAGCAGCAGAACCAGCAGCAACACTAATTGTTATGTTCCCTTTGCTGCTGCCCCTGCTGCCGGTGTTGATGTTGCTAAAGCAAACTGACCCCGCTGCTGCCACTGTGGGTGGTCTTGCCAAAGCCAGTGGTGGCACCACCACTGCTGCTCCTCCCACTCCTTCTCCGCCCCCTGCTCCTCCTCCTTTTTCCACACCTGTTCGATCTCCTGCTGTTGTTCCTGTCGCCGCCGCAACCGTTCCCACTGCCGCTGCCGCTGCTGCTGCAGCTGCTGACTTCCCTGCTCCCTCTGCTGCGTCCTTCCTTACTCCTGATGCTCCACCCTTCCCTACCAAAATTGCTGCATCGTTTGCTTCTCCCGCTGCTCCGTGCGGAAACACAGCAAGGCTCGGCCTCCACCCTGGAAGGACGTTCACAGGCCCACAGTTTCTGCCACCTGGCAGCATGCCAGGTGGCACAACACGCACCGCTGGCACAGCCATCATCCCACGTGGCAGTGTGCCAGGTGGCAGCACAGGAGCTGACGCCAGGGGCGCCAGAGATCCACGTGGCATCCATTGTGGCATGCCACGTGGCACCCTCAGAGCCCCATTATACAGGAAGCCAGCAGCAGGAGGAGTAGCCATAGGGACGCGACCATAGCAGCCCATACTCCCTCCAGGAAAAGGCGTACTCTCTCTTAAACAAGGCACTCCCTCCTCAAAGGAAGGAACCACACTCAGAGAGTTGCTGTGAGGCTTTGAGACGGATGTGGGTGTACGGGTGCTGCTGTGGGGGGCTAAGGCCAGTCCCCCCCAGCCTTGCACAGGCTGCCCTGCTGCCCCTCCCCAGCCTTGCAACGCATGCCCTTGCGGCCTCCACGCTCCTTCTCTTCCCCATCCGTCACTCCTCGCTCTGCATCCGCCTCCTGTTCCCGATAATCCTCCTGCTCCACCCCCTCCTCTTGCTCCCCTCTCTATTGCTCCAACCTCTCTTGCTCCCCTCTCTATTGCTCCAACCTCTCTTGCTCCCCTCTCTATTGCTCCAACCTCTCTTGCTCCCCTCGTTAATCCTCCACCTTCTCCCAGTCCCCGCCCTTCTGCTCCCCCTTCACCTCCTAACCCCCCCTCTCCGTTTTCTCCCCTCTCTCCTCTTTTAGCTTCCGCCTCCCCAGTCACAGCCTCCTCAATTACAGCCTCCCCAGCCACAGCCTCCCCATGTACAGCCTGTGCAGGTACAGCATCACCAGGTTCAGCCTCCCCAGGTACAGCCTCCCCAGGTACAGCCTCCCCAGGTACAGCCTCCCCAGGTACAGCCTCCCCAGGTACAGCCTTTCCCGCTGGTTTCCCAACTGCTGCTGATGCTGCTGATACCGCTAATGGTGCTGACGGGGCTGACGGGGCTGATGCGGCAGGCAGGGTGGTGGAGGGGGAGTGACGGCTGATCTCAGCAACAGCAGAGACTTTTTGAGGCGCCTCAAAAACAGGTTGTGAGAGGGTGGTGGAGAGGGAGTGACGGCTGATCTCAGCAGCAGCAGCCAGAGCAATCAGCGCAGAAGCTGCGCCTCCTGTATCCCCCTCTTCCTCCACCCCCCCACATCCGCCCCATTCGGATCCACCCCTTTCCAGTCCACCCTCTCTCCTCCATCCTTCCCTACTCTCATCTGCTTCTGCTGCTCCCCCCTCTCCCCTCATCTCCCCAGCCTGAACCCGCCCATCCTCATTCCCACGCCCATCCTCATTCCCACGCCCATCCTTGCCTCTTCTGCTCCCCTTCCCTCCGTCTCCTACCACATCCGGCTCTACTCCCTCACCTCCCGCCCCTTTCATCTCCATGCCTCCTCTCATCTCCTCTTCTCTCTCCACCTCTCCCCTCATCGCCGCGTCTCCCCCTCTCTCCTCGTTCTTCCTGTCGTCCCAAGCTTGAACCCGGCCCCCTTCCATACACATATCCCTGCCGCAGGAAGCTCGAACTTGACCCTCTTCCATACGCATATTGCTGCCGCAGGGAGCTATGTTTTCTTTCTGATGAGTCTCAAGAGCACCTGTCTCAATGCACATGTCGATGCAGACTGGCTTTTGAGTTGACTCAAAGGTCATCTGAGGGATGCTTGACGGGGATGACATTTGAGGAGCCTCCTGAATGTTTGTCTCGATGCACATATCGAAGCAGAGTGAGGCTTTGACCGCCTCAACAGCCGCAGTGTCCTTTCCTGCTTCTCTTTTTGTTACCGCTGCTGCTTCTGCTGCTGTTGCTGCTTCTGCTACTGTTGCTGTTGCTGTTGCTGCTGCTGCTGCTGCTCTTGCTGTAACGACACCATCCATGCCTCCTCCTCCCAATACCACCTTCTCTTCCCTGTGAGATTTCTCAGGAACGCCTACGCCTCTCAATATCACCCTTTTCTCCTGCTCCTCGTTTCTGACCTCCCTCGTCCTCTTCTCTTCCTTGCCCTCCCACGCCCCCACTCTATCACCCACCGCCCGCCCCTCTCTCCCCTTCCGCTTCCGACTCACCTCTCCCCCAATCCACGAGGCTCGACTTGCAAGCCACACCAGAGGGGAACTGCTCATCCCTGCCGTCCCGTCCTCTCTTGTCACTCCCGCCGCCCTGCTGTCTCGCAACGGGTGCACGCCACTGCTAATACCCAACCTCAGAGCACTCTCAGAAGCACCCTGCACTGCCCTGCCATCGCACAGAGGGTGCCTGCCGTTGCTGGGGGAAATCCTCTGGCATTCCTCAAGCGCACCCTGCACCCTGCACTGCCCTGCCAGAGGATTCTGCACTGCGTGCACCCTGCAATGCGTCTCTCTGGTATTCTGCACTGCGTGCACACCACTGAAAGATGAGCCCATTCTCTGAGAAATCCCAGGAAAGCCCTGCGGCTCTCTGCCATCTGGCGAAGGGAGCCTGCCGTTGTTTGGGATAATCCGCTGGCCTTTCTTCTCAGGAAAGCCCTGCGCTGTCCTCGCATTCTCAGGAGAGCCCTGCGCTGGCCTCGCATGCTCAGGAGAGCCCTGCGCTGGCCTCGTATACTGCAATGCGCGCCTTTCACTGCTTGACCACATTGGCTGCTGTTGATGCTGCAGCTGCTGGGTGACAGGTGTAGCAGCAGTCGTGGAAGCAGTTGGAATGACTGCAGCAGCCATGGTCGCAGTGCCAAGAGGAGCAGCAGCAGCACCACCAGAAACAGCAGCAGCTATATTAGCAGTAGCGACATCAGTTGAAGCAGAAGTGGTAGCAGCGATTGTAGCAACAGCTTTAGCAGCAGATGTGGCAGCAGTTGTGGCAGGGGCAGCTGAAGCAGAAGCAGAAGCAGAAGCAGCAACAGCAGCAACAGCAGAAATAGCAGAATCCGCAGCACGGAAACTACAGGGAAGGACACCCGGGTGTTTGCGAGCTGCTGGGGGAGGTGGAGCAGAAACAGGAGGCAGTGTCGGAGCAGCAGAGGGGGAATAGCCAGCAGCGGGGACGCGCCTGGTATCTTGAGCCACTTCATACGGGGCTGGTGCTTCTGGTGCTGCTGCCGAACCCTTGCCATCGCCACCACCACTACCACCGCCACCGCTGCTGCCACCGCTGCTGCCACCGCCGCCGCCGCCGCCCCTGACGTGAATACGACCGCTGTTGCCGTCAGAGCTACGAATCTTACCGGCGCCACCGCCACTGGCAGCACTGTGATTGTCTTCAGTACTCCGGTTAAGATCCCAGCCCCCACTGCTCGCGTTGATGCGATAACTGGGGTCGTTTCGACTCACACTGTTGGCCCACGGCTTGGGTTGGCGAAAGCTGCTACTGTTAGTACCAAGACGAATATCTCTTTCGCCACCACATGTGGTAACCGGCAAGAGAGACGCGAGACTGAGCGTTCTGCTCCGGATTCCGTCCACGTTAGTAGCATTGCTGTTGCCGTCGTGACTAGAACCGTCGGAGCTGGCAAGGCTGGGTGCTGCTGGATGGTGTTGCTGGCGGCTGATTGGCCGAGCCAGAGGCGACAGGTTCAAGCGGCATGGTGGCATGCTGTTGTGAGAGCGGAAAAGCGGTGTATCCGCGCCGGCGCGACGTGGCGAGAGGTGAGCTGGGGATGTTGGTGATGTATGCTGCTGCTGCTGCTGCTGCTGCTGCTGCTGGTGCGGTTGTTGTTGCTGCTGTTTCTGCTGTTGCTGCTGATAGTAGTGCCAGTGTTTTTGTTGCTGTTGCAGCAGTTGTCGCTGCTGCTGCTGCTGCTGCTGCTGCTGCTGCTGCTGTTGCTGTTGCTGCTCCTGCTGATACTGATACTGACGCTGATGCTGCTGCGGATGCTGTTGCTGCTGTATCCATTCGTGTTGCTCCTGTTGTCGCTGCTGCTGCTGTTGTTGCCACTGCTGTTGTTGCTGCTGCTGATGCTGTATCCATTCGTGTTGCTGCTGTTGCTGCTGATGGTGCTGCCAGTGTTGTTGCTGTTGCTGTAGCTGTTCTCGCTGCTGCTGCTGCTGCTGCTGCTGCTGCAGCCGCACCTGCGCGTGCAACGAGTCCTGCGGCTCCGGCGAATCCTGAATCCCCCCTCTACCACCCGCCACCGGCAGCTTCCGCTGAGGCGGCGAATCCGCTGCAGCAGCGGCTGTAGCCGCGCCAGATGCAGCAGCAGCGCCATACGCGGTAGCAGCGCAGGCCGGGATGGCGGACACCGGGGGGTGGTTGTGCGGGGACCCCTGCGAGGTGCACGACGGCCGTGGACGCGTGGATAACCCCCGTGGACGCGTCGTAATCCACCAGCTTCCGCGCTCTGCACGGCTCCGCGCCCGGCGGTCGGTACAGCGGGTTGCTCGCCGCGCAGCGGTAGTAGGCTCTGGAAAGTGGTAAAATTCGGGATATGGTGGGGGTTTAGTGGATAAGGAAAAAATGCCACTGCGAAAGTTTTTTACCTACAAGGACTTGAAATCTGAGGCGCGTACACGACGCGCACTAAGCGTGTGGAACGCGTGAGGTAGTACTATAGCAGGGGACGGTATTCCTTAACAAACTCCTCAACCCAAGAGTTGCACGAGCCATCGTAGCGTGTACGACAGTAAGATTAGTAGTATTGTTATCACCTCTTCTGACCGAGGCCTCGTTTCAAAAACTTGGAGCCGTATTTGAGCCATCGATATCCGTCAGAGTTCACGAAATCCGTCGAATCCTTCGCATCGTGCCGTTCCAGGTCAGGCGAGACCGGCGCAGCGGGTGGAAAATCTCCCTCCAACTCCATCGTGCGACCCGGGGTTTACGAAACAATATAGTACTAGTAACGTATAATCGCGACTAAACTTTTTGTCGTGTCGTACTCAATCACTTGACAGCGCCGCGTCTGTCGGCGAAGCTCTGTATCGTAAGTACCTATGTACATCAGGCCAACCTAAAGGTAGTACTACGCATGGCGTTTCTTTCTCTAGAAAAAATAAGGATGGTGAGATGCACAGCCGCCTTGGAAATGCTACGAACTGGGCTTAACGGCTTGACTTGAAGTCCCGCCTGTTTAGCCTCGACCAGTTTCGTTTCCGAGCCTTGAGAAGTCCTCCTGCTGCAATGTAAATTCCTCCCCCCGCCTCCCCTCCCCCCCTGCGCACCCATGCGCACAACCCCTGTCTTGTTGCATTTGTCACGCCACTGCAACGCATTCGATTGGTTGCATGAGCTCGTCCTGCCCACAGGTGGTATCGGGCAGGAGCTGGAAAAATATCTCCTCGGGGATACGAAAGCGTTTGCGGTTTGCGTGCAGAGCCAGCTTGTGCTCTAGTCTGCCCGCATATCTGCCCGCAGCTTGCTTTTCTTTCATTAAGCGCTTTACTGGTGGAAAGGGTTCCAAATGGGGACCATTTTAACCAGTCAGTATCCTTCCTAAGAAACATATTCTCGTTTGGGAGTGTTCAATACTCTGAATTCAGGGTAAATACGCCTGTTCGTAACATCAAGGTAGGTATGGTATAACTGTTCCGGTCAGTGCAACTGCCAGAACAGCGCCAGTAGCCCCCTGGGTCTTGTTGTGGCTCGTCCCTGCTACGCTCGTCACTCCTCCCCTCCCCACATGTCGTACACCCCACTCCTGCCTGACCTTGCTGACGAAGAACTACAGTAGGTGGTTCCTAGAAGGGAACAACCTGCCCGACCAGCCAGACCCGGCAAAAACCACTGAGGGACTTCTGTTTGAAAATGGCGAAACCCCTGAAAACATTTGGTGCTAATTGCAAAAATGCGACAGAGATTGGCACCTGCAGTACCGCAAGTGCTGCCTTCAAATCCACACAGATCGATTCGCCCGGACCAACCTACGAGACCCAACCAGCCTACTTGCTGACCGATAATATTACACCCTGTTTCGCGCTAGCAGAGCATCTGGTTGCAGAACATGCACAGGTCACCACGTTTGAAATGGTCTTATCACCGACGGTACAAGCACATTCACAAGAAAGCGGTTAGCTAAGATGCTGCATGGTAAAGAACGTTAACCAAGCGTTTCAAAGCGGTTGAAAAGGGTATACAGCGATAAAGAAAAATTTTGCCCCCAGTACCACTCCGTCAGCTGGTGCGGCTTTGCCCGCAGGTTTCAGCCATACGGTTTATGGCACCTGACCGCACTGTAGCAGCGAATCGCGCAAGGTGAGAGGGTCGAGAAACAGGGTGTATTGACCTAGCCAAGTGCGTTGGTTGGTTGGTGAGCAGAGCACCAGGCTAGGCAGGTCGCGCTTCCTAGCCACCCCCACTTGGATGCACAGAACAGCGTTGGGAGGAAGCGCAGTCAGGTGGGTTGGCTTGGGACTCGGGACTCGTGACGGATTCTGCTACAAGCCCGCTGACCACGACACGAGCAGATGACGGCTGGAACGACCACACAAGCAGCGACCACAGAAACTTGCCACGGTTGCAGCAGAAGATTCGAGAAAGCCTCCACCTGACACGAGAAGCTGCCGAGTCTTGATCTTGTCGGGAATATGCCGATAGGAAATGAATGGACACGACACCAGCAGTGGAACAGCCAGTCGAGGTGCTATTTATGCTAGGATAAGGATAACAATTGGCATGCAGTGACCCTGATTAATTGAACAAGTTGTACAGTTCATCCTCCCTTAAATAACAACCTGCTTTATACCTTTGTTATGAATCCACCAGCCTAAGGGCAAACGGAAACCATACAATGATCTCAAGTTCAGTCCTGTCCACATGAGCCTAGGTCAAGGTTAGTTGCGTTGCAGATTTGTGCTGCTTATGTTTTACACATGATTAAGAGGACGAGTCACCATTTGGAGGTTGCGGCTTGCTGTCTAGTCTGTGCTGCTTCTCAGCAGCTCTAATCCAGGGATGCCCTGCACGTAAGAAGCACCAAGTGCAAAATGAATGGGAAGGGCAACAGTGGAAATGGTAAGGGAAGCAGTTGAAATGGAACGAACAACACTGGAAAATAGGGAAGGGGTGAAAGTGGAAACAGGAAAGGACGAAAGTGGGAGTGGGAAGGGCAACAGTGGAATGACACCCACATGGTCTTCCAGAGGAAACTCCACCCGTCCAATCGGGCTACTCGACATCGTATCTGTGTAAAAGGAAAGCAACATGTGCCTCCTTCCCCCACTCCTCCTCCCCGTCCACATCCCCCCCTTCCCCTCTTCTCTCTCTCTCCCCCCCCCCCCCCCCCCTTCCCTTTTTCTTGTCTACACAACCACTCTAACGCACAGCAGCTAGCCCACAGCCCTCCCCACCAGACTCACCGAATATCTCAAGTGCGGAGATCCTCCGCCTCACGTCCTTCATCAGCATCCTCTTCACGAGGTCCTTGGCGCCGTCCGACACCGCCGCCCAGCGCGGGTGGCGGAAGTCGACCGCCGCCGCCCGCACGCTCTGCTCCAGCTCAGCGTTGGTCGCCGCCCAGAAGGGTGGGAAGCCGCAGAGGAGGATATAAAGGACAACTCCCGCACTCCAGATATCGCACTCTGGCCCGTAGCTCTTATCCAGCACCTCTGGAGCAGTGTACTCCACCGTGCCTGCTCGTTCCGTGCAGGGGACGCCTGACGAAGGAGGGGAGGGGGGGAAGTGGGAGGGGGGGTGTGGGGTGGGTGGGTTAAGGAAGGGGACCCCTGCGCTCCAGATGTTGCACTCTGGCCCGTAGCTCTTATCAAGCACCTCTGGAGCAGTGTACTCCACCGTGCCTGCTCGTTCCGTGCAGGGGACGCCTGACGAAGGAGGGGAGGGGACAGGGAGGGGAGAGGAGGGGGGGTTAGGGAAGTGGGGACCCCGCACTCCAGATGTCGCACTCCAGATGTCGCACTCTGGCCCTGTAACTCTCATCCAGCACCCCTGGTTGAAACAGTGTACTCCACCGTGCCTGTTTGCTCCATACACATAAGTTTTTCAAATCAGTCCCAAAATCACTGCGCTGTCCGTCATCGCCTGTAGCAGTGCCCGTACCAACAACACCCATCTCACCTTGCTTGTAGAAGGTAGGACCGCCAAAGTTGATGAGTTTGATCTTGGTGTCCACGTCCTTGTCACACATGAGCACGTTCTCCCCACGTTCCCCTCACCTCCTTTGTACAACTAGCAGCAGCAGCAGCAGCAGCAGCAGCCTCTCACCTCGCTTGTAGAAGGTGGCAACTCCAAAGTCGATGAGTTTGATCTTGGTGTCCACGTCCTTGTCACACATGAGCACGTTCTCCGGCTTCACATCGCGGTGAATCACCCCGTTGGAGTGGCAGTGCAGCAGCGCCTCCACCAGCGACCGGCACACAATGGCTGCGTCTGTCTCTTTGAACTGCCCCCGCAGCTTCACCCGGTCGAATAGGTCTCCCTCCCCGACACATCTCCATGATCAGGTGTACATACTGGCAGGGGGAGCAGGAGATGAGGAAGGGGGGTGGAGGGGGAGAGAGGGGGGAGGTTTGAGCGGGCTTGATTAGTCACTGTTAGAAGGGAGTGGCAGTGCAGAGCAGAGTGCAGCAGCAAGTCGACGAGAGAGTGGCACACAATAGCATGGTTACTTTTGCATCCTCGAACGAAGGCGCCGTGCAGGCTGATGATGCCCGGGTGGCTTTTGAGAGACGTCTGAAAAGTCGACGAGAGAGCGGCACACAACAGCGTGGTTACCTTAGCATCCTCAAACGTGTCGTGCAGGCTGATGATCCCAGGCCCCGGGTGGTTGCGCAGCATGGCATGAGCGGCAATGTGAGAGTGGGAATCTGGTGCCATGGGTACCTTTGCATCTTCGAAGGCGTCGTGCAGGCTGATGATCCCCGGGTGGTTGCGCAGCATGCCCAGTATGATCACCTCTGTGCGCACGTCCTCTGCGTCCTCCATGCACTGTGGGGGGTTACGGTGGGGTGGGAAGGCGTTGGAAGGGGTGGAAAGGGGTGGTGGTTGCAATATGGGATGGTTGCCAGCATGCCCAGGATGATCACCTCTGTGCGCACATCCTCCGCGTCCTCCATGCACTGAGTGGGGAGGGGGACCGCAAGGGAAAAAAAAGAGGCAGGAATGGGTGGAAAGGGGTCGTGCGAGGTGAGGTGCGTTGCGCAGCATGGCCAGTATGATCACCTCCATGCGCACGCCCTCCGCGACCTCCATGCACTGGTGGGGGTTGCGGTGGGGACGGGCAGGAAATGGGATGGGTTATGGGATGGGGGCATACGAATTGACTTGCAGGCGAACATCACGTGAGTCTTACGAGAGCGGCGCGTGCCGATGAAACCAGAGCCGTACATGCCTCCTCCCAATTGATAAAATGCGTAGTTTTGAGACGTCTCAAAACTACACTTTTATCACGCGAGTCTTGCAAGAGCGGCACTTGCTGATGAAGCCAGAGCAGTACATGCCTCCTCCCAATTGATAGTAAGCGTAGTTTTGAGACAGTCTCAAAACTACACTTTTATCACGTGAGTCTTGTAAGAGCGGCACGTGCTGATGAAGCCAGAGCCGCACGTGCCTTAACCCAATTTCCGACCACGTCCTCCAGTCCCTCCCCTCCCCTTCTCTCCTCCCTCCTCTCCTACCTCCCCAACCCCCCCCACCCTCCCCCCTCCCCAGCCTCACCTTGACTTGGTCCTTCCTTATCGTCTTGCACGCCAGCACCACACGAGTCTTGCGGCTGAGACAAGTCCGAATGACGCCGTACCGCCCGCTGCCGATCTTGGTGGCGCTGACCGAATAGAACTTCTTCACATCATCGTACGGCATGCGCAGGATGAAGTCTCGCCACCGCATGCTGCCAGAGCTCATCACCTGGTGGGGAGGGGTGAGGAGGGGTGGAGAGAGGTGAGTAAGAGTCTGACAGATTGTTGCTCTTGGTGGCGCTGACAGAGTATAAGCTCTTCACGTCGTCATACGGCATGCGCAGGAATGAAATCTCTCCACCACATGCTGCCAGAGCTCATCACCTGGAGAAAGTGGGTGGAAATGGGTGGGGAGGTGTGGGGATAGATGAGGATGGGTGCAAGATGGGGGCTCCCCTGTGACACCTTAGCTGATGTACTGGCTCAGGATGCTATGATGCCTCTTCACTCTAACACTCACACCACACACACCGACTCACAACACACGCTCAAACTCACACGAGACGTATAACCGCACTTACCTGCCACATGTCGGCCTCAGCATCCCCCTTCTCGCCCTCCCCATCGCCTCCATACGTCCCCAGCTCCCCTGTAAGCCCCCGGCTGATGTACTGACTCAGGCTCTTGAGAAACTGCTCTGCATGGGGGATCCACTGTGTTGCCGCCTCTCCACCCGCATCCCCTCCCCCACTCCCCCACCTCCCCCCGTCCCGCATCCCCTCCGCCCCGCCTGGAACCTTCCCCCCCGACCCCCCCCCGCGCTGCCTGTCCCTCCGCACCCCTTCCCCCCCTCTGCCCTGCGTGCCTCTGTGCCTGATTATCCAGCCCTGTGCTTTCACCTGAGATTCCACCTGATTGCCCTGCTGCTCCGCCTCCCATCCCTCCTCCTCCCGCCCCTGCTCCTGCGCCCTTACCCGCCTCAATAAGGCAGTTCGTACTCATATTCCTCCTCAGGTTATGCACAGAGCTACCACTGTTCCCACTGCTGCTACCGCCGTCGCCGCTACTGGCATTAGCAGTAGCAGAACTGGTAGGGTTGATGCCAGTAACATCGCTGCTGCTGCTGCTGCTACTGCCAATGATGTCTCCCCCCCACCCACCTGCACCGACCGCCAGCCGCCTGTCCTCTCCCCTGCCTCCTCTGCCACTGCTGCTGCTGCGCCTCTCGCTCCTCCCCTTCCCCCTCCCCCCCCTTCCCCGTCTCCACCCTCCCACCCACCCACGCCCGCCGCCCTCTCGTCGCTCCTCCCCCCATCCACCCTCACTCGCCCCCACGCTGCATGCCCTGAGCCTACCGCTGGGGCCAGAGGCGGTGCTGGGGCGATCAGGGATAGAGCCGTGAGAGAGAACAGCTAGGGGGGAGGAGTCCAGCCCAGCGCTATCCAGGGACGAGCAAGCAGGCACTACTCCCCCCCTGCCGCCGCTGCCTAGCGCCCCCACCACTGCCGCGCGCACCAGCAGCAGCAGCAGGAGATGTAGCGCCCATACGTCCCATGCCCCCCCGCCCCGCGCCCATCCCCGCACCCGCCCCACCCCTCTCCGCGCCTCTCCCACCACCTCCCCGCCCAGACCCCTGATACCCCCCGCCGAGCGCCCTGCCGGAGGGGGTGAGGGGGGAGGCGGGCGCGGGGGGGCTGGCGTGGGGGTCGCGCGCGGAGTGCAGGCGGTTGAAGGCCAGGGAGCCCTGCACGCGGTGGTCTGGCAGGAGCGCCTGCTCCAACCGGCTGCTGCTCCCCGCCTTGCGCAGCTCATACGCTCCCCCACCCGCACGCACCCCTGCCCCTCCCGCCCCGCCTGCCTTCCCCGCTCCGCCCCCTGCTCCCCCTGCTCCCCCCGCCTCCCCTGCTCCGCCTGCCATGGCAGAAGCAGCGCCCCACACGTCGTCGTCCTCGTCCATCCCGGGGGACGGCCGCTCCCGCGCGCTGCCCCGCATCACCGCTCCCCCGCCTCCCCCCCGCCTCCGCGCGCCGCAATCAACGCGCGGTTCCGCCCAGGCGTGAGGGGGAGCTGCCCTGCGCCCGTAGCAGCGGACGCATTCCCCCCAGCGGCGGCAGCCGCGGCTGCTGCTCTGTCTTGGGAGAATTCGTTGTGATAAGGCGAGCGCGGGGGCTTGGGTGATTGCAAAGCAGATGGGGTAAATTCCCCTAAATTTAGATTATCTCCCCACGCGCCGCTGCCCCCTCCCCCCATGGTTAGGGGGCTGCGCGGCGGAAGAATGGACCCGCCCCCTCCGCTCCCCATCCGCCTGGGGGACTCTATTGCTCCCCCTATCCCTCCCGCCCAGGACTGGTCCGCGAACGAGTGGTGCCGGCGGTGCTGGCCGGCCAGCTGCCGCCCAGCCACTGCAGCAGCGCCCGAGCCTGGCGCTGCCGAGCCTAACAGTCCCGAGCCAGCAGGCCCGGGGCCAGCAGCGGCGCCAAACCCAGTGCTGAAACCCTTGGGGGTGAGCAGGCGGGGAGACATGGCGTCAAACACGGGGTCTGCGCCAGAGGCATATAGCGCATGGGGGGGAGAGAGGGGACAGGGAGAGATCCCCCTCTGCTGGCTCCGCCCCTTCCGCCGGCCCCCCACGCGGGGAAGCCGCGGTGAACACTGGCGCCTGGTTGAAATCCACAGAGATTGCACGCCTGTGCCTGCGCCCCCCGCCCGCGCCAGCCCCCCCCGCTTCCGCGCCTCCCCCGCCGCCTAACGCCCCCGCGATCCCCCCCATCCCCATGCCACCACCAACCCCGCGGAACCTGTTTCCGATTCCCCCCATGGCGCCAGCGGCGGGGCTGTGCAACCCGTGCTTTAAGGTCCGCGCCACTGCGGCTATCCGGGACTTGAGAGGCGACTTGCTCTTTCCCGCTGTGGGCGGGCGATTTTGTCGTTCTCCCTCTGCTCCTGGTAGCGGGGACAGTGCGTCCTTCGAATACCCCTCCTCCTCCTCGTTCTCCCCCTCCTCAATCACTAACACATTACGCTCCTCCCCCTCCCCCTCCCCCTCCCCCTCCCCCTCCTCCTCTTCCGCGTGAACCTCCACCTGCAGCCGCGGCGGGTTGATCCCCGCGCGCCGAGAGCCCCAGCTCGACAGCGCACCCCCCATCCCCCCCGCGAATCCCCCCATCGGCGCGCTCCCCGTGCTCCTGCTCCCCGGCAGCATCCCTCCATGCGGAGACACCGAACTCTCAGGTGAAAACCCAGGAGAGTCGCTCCCACCTGAATCAACAGAGTCCGAACCTGCGGAGAGCCTGTGCCGAGCGCGTGCTCCGAGCATTATAGGGCTCCGAGCCTCAGCCCGAACCTCCATTCCGCGGTTATCCGAACCAAACCCGTACTGCAGCCCGCGCCTAGCCGCTGTCCGGGGGGACTCAACCGCGCGCCCAGAGCCGTCGACGCTGCTGCCCCTCGGTACCCCTCCGCCCGCCCCTCCCCCCAACCCTTCCGCCATCCCTCCCCCCATCCCAGCCCGCTGGCGCTGCTGACTCGCAAAGAGCGACGCTTTGGCTGCTTCGAACGGGGATAGCGGCTCGCTGGAGGACGCGGGGATTCCTGCGCCCATCGACCCGAAGTCTACCGACGCCCGCCGCCCGTGCGCTCGCCCGCCGCGCCCCTGACTCTGCTCCGGACCGCCGTTCCCCTCGGCCGCGCTCCCCAGTCTGCTCCCCCCGCTTCCCGGTCTGCTTCCGCCGCTTCCCGGTCTCGCCGACGTTGCTCCGCCTCCCAGGCGCCCATGGCTGGTGTTGGGGCGGCCGCCGTGACTACTGCTGGGTCGGATTCCCAGCCCGAACCCTAATCTGAACCCCGAGGGGGACTTTGGTGGCGGGCCTGCAGCCCTTTCCACCACACTTCCCCTTGCGCCGACTCCTTCCGCTGCGCCCGGTGCCCCCTGCGCCTCCAGCCCCCCTTGATCGGGGACGTGGAAGGCGAAATCGACGGACGATACGTCGACGGATTGTGTACGGAGATGGCGGTTCGACCGCAGTTGTCTAATGGAGCTGTTCATTGGTCCCCCGGATACTCCATTTTCGCCGCCGAAGGCGCTAGGGTCTGATTGGACCGCTGAGACGGGGAGCGATGCCTCGAGAAGCGGGGATGGGGGTCGCGGAGCGGGGGACAGCGCGGAACCGCCGAGAGGGGAACAATGCCGACCCATGCGCGGATCGTAGCGCGGCGGAGGTCGAGACGCTTGCCGCGGGTCCCCCCCCGTTCCGCCTCCCCCGCCGCGCTGCCCCCAAGGGGAACCGAGGGGGGAGGATCGGCGGGGATCTTCAGATTCGGAGTTGCGCCTGGTACTGGCGCTGCTTCCGGGGATACCTGGCGGAGAGGAGGCAGAGGCGGAATAATCCACCGACACCGATCGGCTCCGCGGAAAGAAGCTGCGGATGGCGGAAACTCGACCGCCTCCGCGCGCAGGCAATGCAGGAGGTCCTGTTCCGCTTGCTCCGCCTCCTTCCCCGCTTCCGCCTCCGTCCCCGACTCCATAGGCGGAGTCGGTTCTCCCTCCCGAACCTGCTGCTCCTCTAGCCGAACCTCCTCCGCTGTGTCCCGAACCTACAAAATCCCCGCGTCCTGCAGCTTCGGGGAAGCCCTGCCTGTCTCTAGGAGGATCAAGCATGGCCAATCCCTGGCACGACATTGCCAGCTACAGCAGATGCCAAGGATGTTATCCTTCCCCAGCCAAGCTTCCCAGGTAAACGACAAATAAATAAAGCTGCACGATCAGTCTAAGTGTTTAATTAACGTAAGTGGATTTCGAAGAAGTGAAATACGGACTAGGGGTACGGGACCTTATGGGCGTGGCAGCATTGTTATGTTTCCGTATCAAAATGCTACTAATTATCTCCCAAAACGCTCTATTCAAGGGCTGGGATTGATGCTGTGAAGACTGACGCTGCTGCGATTGGCGGCTCGTATCATCTACATGCCTTGCAGTCTTGCAGCGAGGGGGGCGACGAAGCGATTGCTATATTGCCTGACGGAAAAACTAGAGAAAAGCAACTAGAAGTAGCCCGAAACTTAGGTCTCTTAATCAGATATAATTCCTAACCATTTCGGAGAGTGAAGAAATATACTGCACGAGCACAGCTCACTCAAGCCCTGGTGACAACGTCACTCGACAGGAAACCCACGCGCGGGATGCGCTTCCCAACTCGGACACATGGACTGTCTTGACGTCTGGGATGTAGGTGGCTCGCCTAGCCTAGACACAGCAGAGTGAGTGTCGGAGTGACGTGGTGGACTAGGCGGTGATCGCTGGCTGCAGAGCTGAGGAACAGAAGTGAGATGGGGAGGAGGAAGAAAAGAACACCCCCGCAGGTCCCAAGAGCACGCGGAAAACCCCAGGCACAGTAACTCGAAATCCCAAGGTTTCACGCGGTACGATGGCTGAACTGCGCGGTGCAGGTTTGGTGGATGAAATTGCACAGCCTCGGTTTCTCCGAGCGAGGGAAAGGCGACAAGTGATTAGTCAATGTGTCTCGTCTCGTCCTGATGTGGCATGTGTGGCCTGTCGTCAACGCGAGGCTGCTGGCGGGACAGTCTTGTTTCTACACCCAGTCCCTTCCTCATGTCACTGACGCGCACTCCAGCATTTCGTGCACCCAAGGTGGTTGAGGGGGAAAGAGTGGGCGAAACTGCGTTCCAGGGACGGCTGGGGGACGAAATGTACATTCCAATCCATCCCATTGCTGCCCAGCCGTTTTTAAAATTGTCAACACTAGGGCCAAAAGGAACAGACGATCGCCGTCCAGTCCAGGCGTTGCACGAGGAACTCCTCCCGACAAGATAAGTGGACAGCGAAAAGCAGCAAGTTTCGGGGTGCCCAGAACCCCGTAGCCAGAATGCCGTGGGGGGTACTTCAGTAAAAAAAACCTCTGTAGCTCGTTACTGCAGTTCAGTACAGCACATGACCAGCAGTCTCTCCATTTTTACTTCTATTGCTTCCTCTACATCTGACAAATATAACCTATGACAAAACCAAGGAAACACTCACGTCACAACTCCCGCCTTCGCAAACGAGCAGCAAATGCCCCATCGATTGCGTGGCAATGCGGCAATGATGCAAAGCAACGAAGGCGTGAGATCATCGCTTCGGGCAATACTGAAGCATCTAGTGGTTCCAATACAAACTCCTGCAACCAGCCAGGAAAGAAAGACTTGGCTACCTCGCATGAGCACGAAAAAATGAGAAAACGTGACATACAAACTGAATGAAACGACAGGCATGACTCAGTAAAACACCTCAGCATGCCACATGCTTGTTACCACATGCAATGACACTTCAAAAAAAAGAAAGGATGAAAGAAAGAAATGAACAAACCAACAACACCACTTTTTTTTTTCCACACAGAATGATACGAGAGAACGGGATGAGCAAGGGTCATACATGGTGTGTTTGAAGGAAGGTGGTGATCCTATCCTCATTCTCCGATGGCTCTATGGAACACGTGGAGTACACCAGCAATCCCCCCGGCCGCACCAGACTGGTCAACAAGGTGGCGATTGGATGAACGGAAAGGGGGAGTGGGGGAGGGGGAGGGGTAGAAGGCAGGGGAAATGGGAAGGGGGGAAGGGGAGAGATGGGGAAGTCACGTGAGCATCGCCTCCCGCTGTGGCAGGCTCATCTTACATAGCAACAACAGCAGCATCCACATCAGCATCCTACCTGGCAGAAGCATCCCCATCAGCATGTCATCTGGCAGCAGCGTCCATGTCAGCATCCCACCTGGCACAAGCGTTCCACATCAGCATCCTACCTGGCAGGATCATCCAAGTCAGCATCCACATCAGCATCATACCTGGCAGCAGCGTCCAGCAGGTCGTCCTGTAGTGCTGTGAGCTGCGCCTCCCCCTCCACTGTCCTCCTCCACCTCAGATCCGCCCTCTGTAGGTGAGGTGTGAGGAGGGGATGTGAGGAGAGGGTTAGGGGGGTTTGAGGCGCCTAGTGGATTTTTTCCCCCTCCACCTCAGATCCGGCCTCTGTGTGGCGGGTCGGGAAGGGGAGGGGAGGAAGGCGAAGGGGGGGGGAGGAAGGCGAACTGGGGGGGGTGTTTGAGGCACCTACTAGACTGTCTCCCCCTCCACAGCCTGCCTCAACTCTCTACAATCACCTCGCCCCACCCACCTCGGCCAGCACTCCAAGGTCGGAGCAGGGCGCATCCAGCAGCAGCACTCCTTAGAATCACCTCTCCCCTCAATCACCTCGTCATACAGTCACCACTGCTTACAGTCACCTCTCCCCCATACCCACCTTGGCCAGCACCCCAAGGCCGGAGCAGGGTGCATCCAGCAGCACTCGGTCTGCTGTCTCACGCAGGGGAGATGACGCCTGCAGGGGAACAGTGTGTGGGGAGGGATGGGGTGAGGTGGGGTGGGTGGGGCGGGGAAACAGGGTGCCAGGACGGGTGGGGGTGGACGGGGGACCGCAGTAGGGCTGTGTGAGCCATTGCAAAGAACAATGCACCTCTCCTCTAAACATTTGAGAAATAACTTGGGGCAGGCTGCAGCCAAGAGGTTAAGCATATTGATGGGGGGTTCCTGCCACTGCTCATGCAATCCATGTGTTAAGATGTGTTCCAGTACATTGCGACCCTTACAGCGGAAGTGTAAGGCTTGCGATTGCGACCGTGAGCTCCAAGCCTTACTATACAGTGAAGCATCAAGCCTTCTACAGAACCCTGTTTAAGCCGCGATCCCTTACAGCAGTAAGTCCTCAGGTCAGAAGAGACACACTCCACCATGCTTTGCAGCCCCTGGCGCTGTGCTGCCTGCGCCACCATCCTCACTCGCCCCTCGTTCACATCCACTGCCACCAGCCGCCCTGCAGAGAGGGAGAGGGGAGAGGGGAGAGGAGAGAAGTGAGATGGAAATTGAGGGGGGGTGTGGCAATAAGTGCGGTCCCTAGCGCTGTGCTGTGCAGTGCTGCCTGCGCCACCATCCTCTCCAAACCCTCGTTCACATCCACTGCCACCAGCCGCCCTGCAGAGAGGGAGAGGGGAGAGGGGAGAGGAGAGAAGTGAGATGGAAATTGAGGGGGGGTGTGGCAATAAGTGCGGTCCCTAGCGCTGTGCTGTGCAGTGCTGCCTGCGCCACCATCCTCTCCAAACCCTCGTTCACATCCACTGCCACCAGCCGCCCTGCCGGTGAGAGGTGAGGGGGAGAGGTGAGAAGTCAGATGGAAAATGAGGGGGGATGTGCAATAGGTGCAGTGCCTGCGCCGCAATCCTCACCCGCCCCTCGTTCACATCCACTGCCACCAGCCGCCCTGCTGGTGAGAGGTGAGGGGGAGAGGTGAGAAGTCAGATGGAAAATGAGGGGGGATGTGCAACAGGTGCAGTGCCTGCGCCGCAATCCTCACCCGCCCCTCGTTCACATCCACTGCCACCAGCCGCCCTGCCGGCCACGAGGGTGAGAGAATGCGACGGAAAGAGAGAGACAGGGAGAAAAGGAGTGGTGAGAGGTGAGCACTGAGATATGAGAGGTGCGTGGTGAGTGGTGCGGGATGGGGTGAGAAGACATGAGATGAGATGGGATGAGATGAAGTCAAACGGGTGGTGGTGGCATTGAAAAGAGCTGTAACACACACGCACTATTGCCCACCTGAGCCTTGCATGAGCCCAGCGGCATACATGGCCTTGCCCCCGGGCGCAGCACAGCAGTCCACCACGGTCTCCCCTGGCTGGGGCGCCAGCACCTTCACCACCAGCCCTGTGCTTGGAGTTAGTGCGAGGTGATGCACGGAGATGGCGGGAGGTGGTGGAGGGAGACGGAGGGAGGGGATCAGGTAGGTTTTGCAAATTCTAAGAATTCACCAGATCTATGCTTAGCGTGCAGAGGGAGGAGGGGCAGGACGAGAGGAGGGAAGCGGACGAGCAAACTAACCCCACCACCAGAACCCCAGCACCACACACACCCCCACCTGCACTCTCATCCTGCACATTGCACGACCCGTCCTCTATGAGTCCTGCGGTGCTCCATGCCCACCTGGTTACCTGCATTCCCCCACCTGCATTCCCCCCACATGGTTACCTTGTTACCTGCAACCCCACCAGCATACACCCACCTGCACTCTCATCCTGCACGTTGCACGACCCATCCTCTATGCGCCCCGCTGTGAGCACGTGCTGCATGCCCGCCTGATTACCTGGTTACCCTGTTACCTGGTTAAAGGTTTCCACTGCAAGCAGCCACCACACCCCCACCCACCTGCACTCTCATCCTGCACGTTGCACGACCCATCCTCTATGAGCCCCGCTGTGAGCACATGCTGCATGCCCGCTTTTACGCGAATGAAATCGTCCAGGTACGGTGAATCTTCCACCTCCACCTGTGGTTGGTGAGAGGGGCGGGCAGGGGCGCACACACACACACAGACCATAGACACATAAGGAACTCGCAAGAGCTTGCATGAGCTGGAACGAGCTGGCATAGTTGTGGCATGAGGTGGCATGAGGCAGCACGAGGTGGCATGGAGATAGTATGAGCTGGCATGGATTTGGCATGGAGGCGGCATGAGGTGGCATGGAGACGGCATGAGGTGGCATGGAGGCGGCATGAGGTGGCATGGAGACGGCATGAGGTGGCATGGAGGCGGCATGAGGTGGCATGGAGACGGCATGAGGTGGCATGGAGACGGCATGAGGTGGCATGGAGACGGCATGAGGTGGCATGGAGGCGGCATGAGGTGGCATGGAGACGGCATGAGGTGGCATGGAGACGGCATGAGGTGGCATGGAGACGGCATGAGGTGGCATGGAGGCGGCATGAGGTGGCATGGAGACGGCATGCGGTGGCATGGAGACGGCATGAGGTGGTATGGAGACGGCATGAGGTGGCATGGAGACGGCATGAGGTGGCATGGAGACGGCATGAGGTGGCATGGAGACGGCATGAGGTGGCATGGAGACGGCATGACGTGGCATGGAGACGGCATGAGGTGGCATGGAGATGGCATGAGGTGGCATGGAGACGGCATGACGTGGCATGGAGACAGCATGCGGAGCAGAAGCATACCTCGGGGAGCGCCAGCAGCAAGGAGTGCAGATCAGAACGCGATACCCCTTTGGCAGTGTTGGCCCTGATGCATGGTCATGGTGGTAATGGGAGAGGGGGCGAGAGGAAGCTACTTTTAGGCGCTGCAGCCCTCCGGTTCTGCGTGTGATCTGATGGCCTCTTGCAGTGTTGATCCTCATGCACTGCCATGCCATGGTGGTCTTCTCAGACTTCTCAAGCATCATGGTTGGGAAGTCTGAGAGAATCAGAATTTAAGGCCAGAATACATAAAGTAGAATAGAAGCAATTGTCTGAGACAATATCGAACGCAGAACCTCAAGGAGAAGACGGGGCGGGCGTTGTTGATCTCCATAAGTCGCTCCGCCTCTCGCCACACCAGCCTGTCAGCTCTTGAGGCGCAAGTGAGACGATTCTTTTGAAGCACCTCAGAAACTGTCTCACCTGAGGGAGAAGACGGGGCGGGCGTTGTTGCTCTCCATCAGCCGCTCCGCCTCTCGCCACCCCAGCCTGTCGGCCCACCGCCGCACCATCCACTGCAGGGCGGACAGAAGAGAGGGCACCAAGGAGAGGAGGGGAGAGGGAACAGCAAGGAGTGGAACGGAGAAAGGGGAGTGTGAGTGAGTGACCATGGAAACTGCAACTCATATCCCGCCTTGCTCCTTGAGATTGTGAGATGTAATCCAGCCAGCCCTTTAGTTTAGAGACGTCTCAAAACTTGATCCAGCCAGCCTTTCACAGTGCCGGATGTATGTGTGCGCCACTGCACTGCACATACCAACCAAGGGGCGTGCGCACAGGATGGCGAGGGCCCGCGCCTTGTGTGCATGTGAAGTGCATCTGTTCATTCATCCATTCATGTATGCATGCATGTGCATGCATGTGTATGCGTGTGTGTGCGAGCGTGCGTGCGAGCGTGCGTGTGTGAGTGTGTGTGTGTGTGTGTGAGAGAGTGTGTGTGTGTGTGTGTGTGTGTGTGTGCACGCCGCCTCCTCCCCACCAACGCACGTACCACGGGGTGAGAGTGCAGCGTGGCGAGGGCCCGCGCCTTGTCCCGGTCCGTCATTGCATCGTGCAGCGACGGGGCCGGCAGTGGGCCTTGCTCCTGATGTTGTACCGGGAAGTAGAAGCAGGGAGGAGGAGGCGGGGGATGGATAAGGGGAAAAGAAGGGCGCGAGGGGAGAGGGGGGGGGCGGTAGGAGTTAGTGGGTTGCGTATAGAACAAGGTCAGCCGTACTGTACTGTACGGTTCCTAGCATGAGTAACGACTCGACCAGTAGGGTAGGAAGCCCCAAAACCTAAACCCTGAAGTCGCCGCAGCCCCAGTGCCCCTTTCTCTCTATGTTTCTCGTATTCGGACCTACAGCTTTTGTGGCGCACCTGTGCGCGAACAGCTGCCCGCAAAATAGCATTGGCCAATGAGGCGGCTCCGGGCCTTAAGGCTGCCCGAGCGAGCTTGACCGCCTGCAAGGAGCAGCGGACAGAAGGGACAATGGTGAATGGTCGTGCAGCTGATTAGATACAATGAATACATCGACTGCATTGATTCTCACCTCGTTGACTGCATTGACTCCACCTTCACTCACCTCGTTGACTGCGTTGACTCCACCTGCATTGGTGAGTTTAGATTCACTGAATAATTTGACTACCTACATTGACTGCTTTGACTCCACCTGCACTCACCTCGTTGACTGCAGCATGTGGTGGTGTGTCCATCTTAGCGAGCTCAAACATCCCCAATCGGAGAATCTACAGACGAGGATAGCAGGAGATGCGGGGAGAAGGGGCAGGGGGGAACTACACTTAATCGAAATGAGTGCACTCGCCATTAAGCCTAGAGCAGCATCCCGATTCCTGAGACTGCAACACGGCTCAGAAAAGAAATCTCACTACTGCAGCATACGGTACCACATAGCGAAGACGGAGGTAAATTCCCCTCAGCACAATTACCCACAAGGTAATTGCGACAGGGAAAATTCCCCTACACATCATCATTACACAGCACAAACCTGCTTCAGCAGTGGCTCCATCCTCTCCAGCTCATTCAGGCTGCCCGAAAAAAACTCCGAGAGCAGAAAGTCCAGATAACGCCTCCACCGGGTGACACCTGCCACGAGCTCAGTCACATGGCGCCTTCCCCGCCCCTCCAGAGGCAAAAGCCCGAAGCCCAGCGTGCGCCGCACATACTGCATCTCCAGCTCCCACCCGCCCGCCCCCTCCCCTGCTGCTGCCCCTGAGAGAATGTCGGCATAGGCTCCCCCTTGCTCCACTCTTAGCAGACGGACAACAGCGGCTGGGGATGGCAGTGCAGTGATCGGGGGAAGGAGGGACAGCAGGAGAAGATATGAATAATGCCCCTCCACTGCTGCTGCCCCTGAGAGAATGTCGGCATAGGCTCCCCCTTGCTCCACTCTCAGCAGACGCACGACAGCAGCTGGGAGTGGCAGTGGAACGTTGGCAGGGAATGCATGAGACATTGTCAGGAGATGAATGAGACATTCAGATAAGAGGGCGAGAGTTGTGCGGCAATCATTTTGTTTGAGATTATGTTTTGAGAATTCTCAAAACTAATCTCAAACATTCAGATAAGAGGGCGAGAGTTGTGCGGCAATCAGATATTGTCAGGCAACGAGCCATTCTGCCCATTTGACAGTGTCCCCATAACAGCTGCAAAACCCCCAACCCTAAGCCCCTTCCCACAACCCTCACCCTGCGTCCTCCAACCAGCCCTCGCCTTCTGAATCGACCCAGAAATTCAATCCTCACCGTCCATCCATCACCTCGCACCTGCTCTGTGCGGTGAGATCTCCTCTCGAATCACCTCCTGCTCCTCTTCCTTACCCTGCTGCTCCCCCTCCCCCACCTCCCCCACCCATACACCCGTGTCCTTCACCCCAGCGTCCTTCCTCCGGCTCCCCTCGTCGCTCCCCTCCCCCGTTCCGCCTCCATTCGCCCCTCCTCTCCCCGCGCGCAGCTCCCCATCCTGCGCTGTCCCCCCTAAACCCTCTTCTCCCTGAAACAGATTCCTCACGACCTCGTCCCCATATTTCCGCTCCCTCTCGTCTTCCCCCCTCGCTTTCCCTTCCACCTGTTCTCCCCCTTCCGCTTGCGCCATTGTCCCGCGTCCACACGTCCCGGTTCATCCGCGCGCCATCCCGCTGCTCTCTCCCGGTCGGATAAGACGCGCGAGAGCTTCCGCGCAAACTCCGCGCGCCAGCGCTATCCCGGGCGGGCGAGCAGCCTCCCCGCGGTTCTCAGCTTGGGGCTGCAAAATTCCCGCCAGCGCGCACGCGGCAGAAGGAGCTGTTGCCAGTGAGGCTCAAATCCCTGCGAACTCAGGAGAGGCGGAAAACTGCATTTTCCCGCCAATTTTGACGGAAGGATGGGATAACCGTTGGCCTGCGACGCAGGTCGATGCAAGGCCGTTCATCCTTGCAGTCTACTTGACTCACGAACAGAACTGAACTAGTCTCAACCGACTGACAGCAATTTCAGGATTTTGGCGCCAGAAACTGCGCGGAGTCAGGTTGAGGGGTTGAGGGGGAATCCCAAGGTGCGATAGTGTTGCGGGGGTTAGTGTAGCGAATTGCTGTACATTGTGGCATAACTCAACCGAAGCTGAACAAAATCTCACAACCAATATATCTAATCAGAAAAGGATCATGTTTTTGTGCATATATCCGTATCAGAACATGTTGTCAAGCGAAGCCCGGTTCTCAACCTTCTGATATCTAGCGAAAACGACGAGGCGGCAGTTCCTTGAAACACATCCGCTATGGCACATATCGCCTTGTCTAGAGTCGCTGTCAATGACACATCGTCTTGGAATTTGTAAGGCTTGAGCACCGCCGCCCAAGGCTGGTCTTCAAAAGACTTGGGTCTTTGAACCAGCTTAAAGCCCAGTATCCTTTCCTTCATAAATTTCTCGAGCGCCTCCACCTGTGCAGTGAACACCACAAGCAGGGGTGCAAAAAAACAGTGGACGTCAACAAACCTCTGTTAAAAGATTTCTTAGGGTAACCAAGGAACATGCACTACACGCACCTTCAAACCTCTCACCTTGTGGTCGTCAGTATCGGAGGCAAGGAACATGGTGGATATGTTTCCAGCCATACCCATGGCCTTCACCAGGCATGCACCACATGCTCCACATTAAACCACAGTACATGCACTACACGCACTATCAATCCCCTCACCTCGCGGTCGTCAGTATCAGAGGCAAGGAACATGGTGGAGATGTTTCCAGCCATGCCCATGGCCTTCACCAGGCATGCACCCGCATGCTCCACAGAGAGCCGTGCATTGGGGTTGCTGTGCTGCATCAGGTCCGTTCGCCTCCAATGCACCCCCATGTACCGACCAACTGCACGCCCTCCCTCCAGCCCCTTCCCCCCCCCATTTCCGTCCCCCTCCTTTTGCTGCTGCTGCGGCTGGTCAGTGGCTTTACCTCCTTCCGTCACCACATCAGCATCAGCAGCCTCCCATTCCCTCCTGGAACCCGGCAGCACCACACTGCAAACAAACTCCCTAGCAGCTTCGAGGATAGCGGGGTGTGGCGCTACAGCCAGAGCATTAGGGCACTCAATAGACTGTCCTAAAGGGGACGTCCAGGTAATTCTTCCCTGGGAACGTGAGATGCATGGATCCCAGATCTCCCAGCAGAACAACCCTCGCAGTTGGCTGTATCAGAGACCGCAGGGCCAGGAGCTTTGGGATTTCCAGAGGCTCGGAGGCGTTGCCGATCGTGAGCGCGAGGTTCGGAGGGTAGGTGACACCGGAGAGGGAGGGGAGGTCGTCGCGGGAGGCAGCAGATTGGTTGTAGCATTGCTTCTGCAGACACAGCACTTGATCCACTTGCACTGTGGCACTCTGGGGTGGAGATGCTGGTGCTGCAGCAGGAGTAGGAGGAGCACCAGGTGCTGCTGCTCCTTGTGCCTCTACTGCTGCTGCTGTTGCTGGCGCTACAGGTAGTGGTGCTGCTGTGGCTGCTGCTTCCGAACCTGCTGGTGAAGGTTCTGACCCGGGTGCAGAAGCTGTTGCCACAGAGAGGGCGTCCAGGGAAATGACTGACTGTGGCCCGTAGCACAGCCGGGTATGCTGGTGGGGGCAGTGTGGGGTCACAGAGGATTGACAAAACAGAGAAAGAAGTGAGGCAGGTGAGTTGGGAGGGATACAAGCTCGCTGCAGACCCCGTGTTTGCTGACCTGGTGGACCAGAAGGTCGCTAACAGACCAGAAGGTCGCTAACAGACCAGAAAGCAAGCAGCGAGCAGCTAGCAGCGCACCGGGAGATGGAAGAAGGTGCGGCGGTCGTAGTGGCGGGCGACCTCGTGTGCTCGCAGGGGCACCACGAGGGAAGCAATCTGAGAGCAGAGAGCAGCAAGCAGCGAGCAGCGAGCAACAAGCTGCTAGCGGCGCACCGGGAGATGGAAGAAGGTGCGGCGGTCGTAGTGGCGGGCGACCTCGTGTGCTCGCAGGGGCACCACGAGCGTGCGGTTGAACACGCCCGCCACCACCAGGTGGTTCTTGATGCACCGAATGCGGTTGCTCAGCTGGGGTGAGCCAATGTCCCTCACACATGGACACATACACACAGGGAAACATGCACATAGACAGACAAGCACTCACGCACACATGCACAAATCGGGACATGCAGTCACGCACGCACGTATGCGCATATGCATATATGAGGAGCACCAGGGCAGGAGCCATGAGGAGTGAGAGCAGACATACGACACAAGGCGTTTCCCATGCCACATCTGGCCCACAAACACCACATGGTCTCAAATGTCATGTACTGGGGAAGCACACCCCACCTGGTTACCAAACCCCACCTGATTCCAACACCGTACCTGGTTACCACCTCACCTGATTACCACCACACCCCACCTGGTTCCCACACCCACCTGGTTACCATACTCAGTTACCACACCCCACCTGATTACCACACCCCACCTGATTACCACACCCCACCTGATTACCACACCGCACCTGATTACCACGCCCCACCTGATTACCGCACCTCATCTGGTTACCACATCTGGTTACCAAACGCACCTGGTTGCGATGGCAGTCCATAAGCACGTAACGATCAACCCGGTCGTTGACCAAAGTGCGTTGCTCAGGGTGTTCGAAAGGCTGAGTTACTCCCTGATTACGACATCCAACCTGGTTACCACACCCACCTGGTTACCACACCCACCTGTTTACCACACATGGTTACCACGCCCACCTGGTTGCGATGGCAGTCCATGAGCACGTAGCGATCCGCCTGTGGCTCCCATGCCATGCCGCCCCTCTCAAACCCCATGCGGTATGCCCTCTGCATCCCATAGCACCGCTTTGCAGCCACTTTAGCTCGCTCCTCCGCCTCCCTCTCCTTCAGGGTAATGGCCCTCCCCCAGTTCACCCTTCCCCACTCAGGATCATCTAACCTCCCAGTTCCTGACGTGCTGTTGATTGTAGGAGCAGGTACAGAGGGCGGGGCCTGGTAACCCGGGCTTTCCCCTTGTGCTGCTGTGTCTGGAGCCGAAAGGGACGGCGGTGCTTGTGCCGGTAACGAGTCGAGCGAGGCATTGGCTGCTGCAGGGGAGGCGGATGAGAGAGACTGCCGGGCCACGGAAACAGAAAGCGGTGGGGAGCGGTGCTTGTCGCCGCCCGTTAGACTCGTCGGCTGATTGTCTAGTGGCGCGATGCTCGAAAGATTTCCTGCTGCTACATCCCCTTGCGTCCTTCCCGCCAACGCCTCCTCCAACTCGGATTCCATTTCGTCCACTCTCCCTGCAACGATCTCATTCGCCACCACGACGCTCGCGAGCGAAGACTCGTTTTGGCGAGATGCTGATAACCCGAACTGGAATAGGTTGGATAGCACGAGGAGGCGAAGCGCCGTATACAGAGCCCACGTCGGCATCGCGGAGAAGTCGCAAGAGGAACCACTAAATCACGCATTCCCGTTGCTTCTAATCACGCTCTCCTGTTGCTTGCATTTCCGTTACTCATGGTCTCGCGTTCTTGTTGCTGATAATCCCGCATCCCGTTGCTCACGGAAACATGGGGCAGTAGAGCGAATTCACTGTGGTTCATTTCCTCGTAATTGACTGGGCACGCTGCTCTAAACACAGCGGGGATTACCATAGCCACCGACATTTGAACTTCGCCGTATGACACAGACAAACAACAATAGCAGGAAATGCCTTCTCTACAGCAAACCTGATATTATGGCACCCAGCTATTCTATATGGTAGTAACCCCGTAATAATTTAGTCCCAAGCAGGCTCGAAATACGAGCCAGGTATATCCCTTCGAGCCGTCAGTTTTCTAACCTATTTGAGGAGCCCTGGCTGTCATAAACCGCCGAGCACAGACAAGTCGGCCCAGCGATTCTTTGAGAGATGCGCACGCCACACCACACAACCGCCGCAAAAGCCACCCAGCCCAAACCATGCAGCTCGGGTGAAGCTGTAGCCTCCAGGGTGCCTAGCCTGGCCTCCTAACACAGCAGCAGAGCCGTACTGCCCAGCCAGCCACAAAAACTCCCTCGGGGAGCTGCACAGCACACAGCAGCTGCGAAAACCACCAGATCTTAGGATCATGCACTGCAACACACTGGAGGTTGGAACGGCACCCAACCACCCATCTACCCTCTCCTCCTGATACATCATCTGGATGTCATTCAACAACTCCTCCACATCGCTCATTACCAGGCAATGAAGCTCTAGCCTCTGGCACTTGGCCGCTTGAACATCACCCACACACCCATCCACGCTCTGCTGCTACATCATCTGGATGTCATTCAGCAACTCCTCCACGTCGCTCATCTCCGGGCGGTGAAGCTCTAGCCTCTAGGGCACTTCCGCACTGTAGATTGGAACATCACCCACCCATCCACCCATCCAGCCCCTCCTGCTACATCATCTGGATGTCATTCAGAAACTCCTCCACATCGCTCATTTCCAGCCGGTGAAGCTCTAGCCTCCAGGGCACTTCACCGCTCAACACAGCACTGAAGATTGGAACATCCCACCTATCCACCCTCTTCTTCCGCTACATCATCTGGATGTCATTCAGAAACTCCTCCACGTCGCTCATTTCCGGCCTGTCCTCGGCATTATCAGCAATGCACTGCTTGGCGATCGCAGCCATCATGAGAGCGCCCTTCCGCGGGTACTTGCCCTGCAGCTTTGGGTCGATCCATTTGTCCGGGTCCGCCACGTTGGGGTGCAGGTGCTTGTGCATGGCTATTGCCAGCTTGACGTTCCGATCATCCACTGCGTCCTTCCCTGTCAGCACCTGCAGCAGGATGACCCCAAATGAGAACACGTCACTCTTTTCTCGAAGGCAGCCTGGCAGATACATGGGGTGAAGTGGGGGATGGGAAGGGGGGACAAGGGGGGGGGGGGGGGGGGGGGAGCAGGGGTGAGCGGGAGGGAACAACGAGCAGTGAGTACATAAGGTAAGTGGAACGGGGAGTTGGCTTGTCAGGATCAGCAACGTTGGGGTGCAGGTGCTTGTGCATGGCTGCTGCCAGCTTGATGTTCCAATCATCCACTGCGTCCTTCCCTATCAGCACCTGCAGCAGGATGACGCCGAATGAGAACACGTCACTCTTTTCTCGAAGACAGCCTGGATGAATGAGGGCAATGAAAAAGAGAGGAGGGAAAGGGAGAAGGGAGGGAGGAAGGGGGTAAGAGTGTTAAGGATGGGTGTCCTTGCCTGTCAGCACCTGCAGCAGGATCCACTCCAAAGGAGAACACGTCACTCTTCTCCCGTAGACAGCCAGGAGGGCCGTGAAAGGGGGGCGAAGGGATGGGGAGGGTGGAAGGGGGTGAGAGCAGCACGGAGAGAGTGCAATGGGTGTCTTTCCCTGTCAGCAGCTGTAGTGGAATGGCCCCAAAGAAAAGCAAATCATTCTTCTCCCATAGATAGCCTGGCATCAAGGGGGCGGGTGGGAGGAAGGAGGGGGGAGAAAGAGCTTCAAGCAGAGACTGGCCGTGCAGGAAAATACGGCATTCGACCTAGCTAGACAGCCTAGCAACAAGGGCCGCGGGAGGAGTGGAGGGGAGGTGGAGGAAGTGGACGGGGGAAAGAAATTAGAGCAAGCAGTGAGTGAAATGTGTGTAACTCGACAAGAAAAACTGAAAGCTGAAGCGTGGCTTGTATGTATCCCAGCAAGGGCAGCAGCAGGGACGCACCGGTCTCCATGTAGACCGGGGGTCGAGGTAGCCCAGAGTGCCCATGACTCATGTGCTCACATGGCTCACTCCCTCCGGCCATATCCAAGTCACTTTTGAGATGTCTCAAAGGCAAGGGCAGTGCAGCGGCAGCACAGACGTACCAGTCTCCATGTAGGCGGGGTCGAGGTAGCCCAGAGTGCCCATGACTCGTGTGCTCACATGGCTCACCCCCTCTGCTGCCTGCTTCGCCATCCCAAAGTCTGTTAGCTTCGCCTCCATACCCTGCCATGCCAACATGCCCCATGCCCCACGCCCCCATGCCCCATGCCCCCATGCCCCATGTCCCGTGCATGCCCCATGCACAGCAACCCCAGCAGGTGCCGGGTGGGAAAGATGAGCGATGCAAAGAATTGCGTCTGTTCAGAGCAGCAGTGTGCCAAGGGGGTGTGGAATGTCAGCGATCCACACATACGAAATAGCACATGTGCACATAGCAGCATTGTGAAGGCCAATAGCACATGTGCACATAGCAGCATTGTGAAGGCCAATAGCACATGTGCACATAGCAGCATTGTGAAGGCCAATAGCACATGTGCACATAGCAGCATTGTGAAGGCCAATAGCACATGTGCACATAGCAGCATTGTGAAGGCCAATAGCACCTGTGCACCCACTACACACCTCAACCTCAACATTGCTCGCTCCTCACCTACCCCAACAGCATGTTTGACGGCTTGAGGTCACGGTGAATCAAGTTGTGCTCATGAAGATGCACCAGCAGCACGCACACACACACACACACACACACACACACACACACACACACACACACACACACACACACACACGCCCCTCAACCCATACGTCCCTCGCTCCTCACATCTCCCAGCAGGATGTTGGACGGTTTCAGGTCGCGGTGAATGACGTTGTGCTCGTGCAGATGCACCAGCGCGCCCGCTGTACCTTGCACCACTTTCAGCCGCGAGTTCCAGTCAAACACCTCCTCCATGCGCGCTGGGGGGGGAAATTGTGCACAGGGGGAGGGGGTTGTGGAGGGGGAAAGGGGGTTTCAGTCAAATCAAACCCGCTGTGCCCTGCACCACCCGCAGCCACGAGTTCCAGTCAAATGCCTCCTCCATGCGCGCTGGGGGTTGTGCAGGGAGGTAAGGGGGGTGAAGGGGGAGTGGGTGGAGGGTGAAAAGGCGGAGAAAGGAGAGGAGAGGAGGGGGGAGAAGGTGAGTGGAGAGCTAGTCGCAGGCGCTAGTTCCTGTCGGAGGAGATCCAGTCGAACGCCTCCTCCATGCGCGCTGGGCAGGGGATGTGTGGGTGGGGAGGGGGGAGGTGGTGAATTGTGAGAGCGCGTGGGAATGAGAGGAGAGCTAGTTGCAGGCGCTAATTCCAGTTTTTTTTTTTTTTTTTAAGGTTGATTTTGTGAAAAGTCACAATCAACCTACCAAAAAACGAGAGGAAAGGGGGGACAAGATGATCGGAGAGCTAGTTGCAGGCGCGATTTCCAGTCACGTGCGCTGAGAGGAGGGGATTAAAGGATGAGGAGTTGAAGAGTTGAAGGGGAGGGCGTTAGAGGGAGGGGGTGAGGGCTGAGGGGTTGAGGGGTAAGGGGTTGAGGGGCTGAGGGGGGAGGGGCTGAGGGGGGAGGGGGTGAAGTGTGAGAGGGCTGGGACAATTAAGGGGAGAGACAAGCTGAGGGGAGAGCAAGAAGACGTAGGCGCGATACAAAGAAAGAGCGACTCACAGGGGAATAGCTTGTCGTCGAGGCTGCCGTTTTCACAGAGCTCGTACACCAGCAGCGCCTCGCCCTTCTCCGCGCAGTACCCCACCAGGCGCACCAGGTTCGGGTGGTTCAGGCTCGGCAAGAGCAGCACTTCCGCCTGGAAGGGGAAGGTTGTGACAGGTGGGTTGAGGCGGCAGGTGGTAGAGAGGAGCGGGTCAAATGAGGTGTTTAGTTGTGTGACAGATGGTCAGCGGACCAGAGTCAACGAGAGTCAACAAGAGTCCGTCAGAACTTTACAGACACCTTGGTCACCTGGCCCGTCGCCCTGTCACTCAGTGTCTCCCCCAGATATACCTTCACATTGCTGCCCTTCCTTTTGAGCCTCGTCTTAATGCCCACCCTGTAGCCTTGTCACTCAGGATCCCTTAGAGCACCTCCCCATAGCTGCCCTCAACCCCTGCTCCTTCCGACTCCACTCACCACCCACTCACCACCCACGCGTCCATGCCCTGGGAGCTCTCCGGGTCAACTCCCCTTCTAGCCTTGTCGTTCAATGTCCCTCACAACAACCCGAAGCCGCCCATGTGAACCTGACCGTTTACATTCACTCACCAGCCACTCGTCCATGCCCTGGGAGCTCTCCGCGTTGAGCATTTTGACAGCCACCTTGGTCACCTCGCCCGTCACCTTGTCCGTCAGCGTGCCCCGATACACCTCCCCGAAGCTGCCCTCGCCCAGCACGCCCTTCTTGCTGAACGAGTTCGTCGCCGCCTTCAGCTCTGCTAGTTTGAACTTCTTTGCGCTGCCCGCGCCGCCGCCACCAGGCCCGCTGCTGTTGGTCGTTGTGACGCCTCCTGTGGGGAGGGCGTTAGTGGAAACGGGAGGAGAAGCGGAGAGGGAACGGATTGATGATGGTGAACTCAAGAGCTTGCAGCAGGGCTGGTGCTCGTGGTCGTTGTTGTGAGGTTCCTGCGGCGGGGTGTCAGGGGGGCCGGGAGGAGAAGC